TTTTTTTTTTTTTTTATTGCGATCTATTCAGGCCACAAAATTCAGATGCTTAACTTCTGTAAAACTGATTTGCTTAGCTTTTCCTTGGAAATTCTGTTTTTGTAACAGCTTTTCTCTATATTTTAACTTTTTAATGCCATTTATGCAGTTTTTTGTTGGCTACTGATTAGTATACGGCACACCAAAAAGTTAATTGTTAAATGGTCAAACATGAAATTGAATAACGAGCGATTAGATTTATCATGCTTTTTTTTTAAGTTTAGAATGCTAAACATATAAAGTTGCATTTTTAATATTCGTTTTTTGATGCCCATAAATTACAGTGTACAGTAAAATTTTACCTAAAAATTGCAGCACTACTCGATTCATAACTTTTTTTAAGTAAGCAAGCTTTTGAAAATTTCATCACTTCAATTTCATCACTATTGGTTCATAGATTTTTATGTTAATTTTTTCTCTACACTACGTTATAGGTTACAACGGACATTTATATTTTGCCTATAAATAGGTCGAACTTGGCAATTTATTATTAGACTCTTAGTTTACTCGCTCGTGAATTTCAGTTGGAAGCGTGCACATATGGCTGCGGTTGCTGTTGCTCGGGCATCCGCAACTTTCAGCACGGCATCGCTATATGTCGGTGATCTGCATCCAGAAGTCTGTGAGCAACACTTATTTGAAAAGTTCAGCACTGCAGGATCTGTTCTTTCTATACGCGTTTGCCGTGATGCTATTACGCGTCGATCGTTAGGGTATGCGTATGTCAACTTCCAGCAAACTGCTGACGGTAGGCGAATCACTCAGGAATAAACTCAGGTTTTTTGATATCTGTCTAAAACAGTGTTGACTTTTAGCGGAACGAGCACTTGAGACACTTAACTTTGATCTTCTTTTTGGAAGGCCAATGAGGATAATGTGGTGTCAACGTGATCCTTCTTTACGTCGTTCTGCTTCGAGTAATATATTTATCAAAAATCTAGATAAATCAATTGATAATAAATCAATATATGACACATTCTCGATGTTTGGGAACATACTTAGCTGCAAGGTAATATTTGAGGGACATTTGATTATACTTTTCCTTACTATGAATAATTTTACTCTTATTCCAACTTCTCTTTACTGTGTTTCGCGCTTTATAATTACCCTTCTTCTGTCGCTTGTGGTTGCTACCTACAATGTCTTTGGCTGGTTCATTTTTACTGGAGTCATTCAAATATAGCGCTCAAAATTTTTATATATTAACCTTCGAACTAAATACAGGATTTCTTACTTTCCTAAAAGTAACAGTTAATTGCAATAAGGCATTTTTCCTTTTATCACTTGTTTCTCTAAAATTTTATTATGAAATATCAGTTTTTGATTATGTTAAGGTTGCTACCGATAGCGAAGGTAACAGTAAGGGTTACGCTTTTGTGCATTTTGAAACGGAAGACTCGGCAATTCAAGCCATTGAAAAAGTGAATGGAATGTTACTTGAAAAGAAAAAAGTGTGAGTGTTACCGCCTGAGATTGTTTTGTTATAGCTGTTGATTCTTATGTGAAGATTCTTTATCAGCTTTCGTTTGACTGCTTAAAACTCTTTCACTTAGCGTAGTTAAGAAATAATATTTCCACCTATTTACAGTTACGTTGGCAAGTTCGTTCCTCGTGCTACACGGGCGCTTCAGCTCGGCGAGGAAGGTCGGAAGTTCACAAATGTTTTCGTGAAAAATTTTGCAGACGAATTGGATAAATTCAAGCTACAGGAACTTTTTAGCAAATTTGGCCAAATCACTAGTGCAGTCGTGATGTATAATGATGATGGAAAGTCTAAAGGGTTTGGCTTTGTAGCTTTCAAGAGACCTGAAGACGCAATGAAGGTTCGTAGTTTTGTTTGGAATGTTGAGAAAAGTTACTCTTTGTTATTTTAGTGAATTCTTAGACGTTCTGTTGTGAAAAATACTTACAGGCAGTGAAAGAGATGCAAGATTATGAATTATCCCCTGGTCGAAAATTGAGTGTTTGTCGCGCGTTAAAGAAAGAAGAACGTTCTGCCGAACTAAGGAAGAAATTTGAAGTTTCTAAAGCTGGTAGCCAGCAACAGTTTCAAGGAGTGAATCTCTACGTGAAAAATATTGATGATTCTTTTACTGATGAAAAACTTCGTGAAGAGTTTGAAAAGTTTGGGAAAATTACAAGTGTGAAAGTTATGCTTGATGATTACGGCCGCTCAAAGGGATTTGGTTTTGTTTGCTTTGAAAATGCAGACAGTGCTTCAAAGGTTCATAGTATATATATCTCACTCTACAATATTCTTTGACATTTTGTAGTTGTTCCCGGTGCTTCGTTTCGTTTGAGTAAGTTGTGTAAATAGCATAAGTGATGCTGTCATGTTACGTTTTCATTTGTTTTCTCAGAAATTTTAGGCAATTGACTCTTTAAACGGAAGAATGATTGGTTCAAAACCGCTTTATGTTGGTAGAGCTCAAAGGAAAGCAGAGCGAAAAGCTCAGTTGGCTTCTGTATTTATGCAAAACATTGCTTCTGTCCGTTTCCGTGGCAGTGGTGTACCCAATCCCGTTTGTGCTCCTGGGAGCACTCCTTTATATGTGGCGCCTCATGTTTCAAACCAGCGGTCGGCTCCTCTACTTGCCTCCGTGCCACCACAACTGCGAACCTTCCCACAAAGGTGGGGTGCAATGGGTGCTTCCTCAAGCCATATTGGTAAGATTTGTGACTTTAGGATGAGCCTGGGGATTATTTGACTTTGTGGGCGCGGTTTGAGTGAAAGTACTACAATAGAGCAATTCTTTTCGGGAAGTAAAGTCGTTGCTTGCATAAAAGTTATTTTAGTTCCTCTTGAGATATTTTTTAATGAATAAACCAGGCGTTTTAAAATTGGTTCTTTTTTTTTCTTCTTGTGGAGGGGGGAAGGGGCGGTTTTTCATCTTGGAATTGTTGAAACATTCCTCGTGCTCCACACCAAAAAGTAGCTCACGTTTTGTTAGTTTGGCTTTATACAGTGTAATTTGGTGTTTTTATACCGGCATAATATCAAAGAAGCTTTAAATGTTTTCTTGTAGGTGTAACACCGCAGTATATCGTCCATGGTTATGGACAACTTGGACGAGCAGTCGACACCGCTCATACTTTTGCGCCAGAGGAAAGTTTATTGACCAACCAGAACTACATAAACGACTTTAGATCTCGCTTTTCAGCTGCCAGCAGCAATATGTATGTGCAACAACAACCGAGATCTTTCCAGCAGGCAAGTCTTTTTTATCATTGGCTACTTACTTGTGGAACAGTAAAGTACCAAAGTATTTTATGTTTTAAAATGATTATCGTATAATTCTGAAAGATGTACTTGGATGTCACTTGGTTAATTAGAACCTTTCTTTTACGCGATAAAAGTGAATTTTTAAATTTGATTTATTTGGACGTGAGTTGTTATTTATAGTTTGGTTACAACTTTCCTGCAACTAATGTTAAAGACATTAATCGTCCATCAACTTCGTTACGTTTGGAAGGCAACCCGTCTTTACAACGAGAGAATCATTTGGAGTCACTTAACGCCTACAGTTTAGCACAAGCAACCCCTGAGGTCCATTTTTCTAAAAATGTGATTAGTGATTCGATGAAACAGTTGAAGAGGGAACTCTATAAAATTGATATACACTGCATTTTTCCATCTGCCTGAAACTTTTTAAATTGTCTGCATTCTGGACAATACATGCTGCAAAATTCTCAGGTCTTGCTTGTTATTTACGCAGCTTTCAGCAACAAAAACAAATTCTTGGCGAACGTCTTTATCCCTTAGTGGGCCGTTACCAACCAGGGCCGGATCAGGGTAAAATCACTGGTATGATGTTGGATATGGAACCCTCAGAACTATTAATGCTATTGGAAAATGAAGAGGAACTTAGAGCCAAAGTTGCTGAGGCGGTCAGTGTCCTTAATCAGGCGAAAGCCGAATCTGTGCATCAATGAAAAGTTTTGCGTTTTGCTTGTTATAGTTCTTTGGTTGCTTTTCATTTAACACTTGTTTGAGATTTGACGCGCTTCACGAGCTAGTGTCGGAAAAATTCCAAACAGCCGTATTTAGAAAGGTTCTTTTTTCACGTGTTTCTTTTGATTCCTCAGATTTTCTTTTGCTTTTATAGTAGGATTTTTTTATAATGAAACTGAAAGAAATAGAAAAAATTCCTCTGTTTTCTTAAAAGAAGTAGCGACTAGAGTTTGTGATAATCTTTAGTTTAGACTGAATAAGTTTTATGGCAGTCAAAAAAATTATTATTTCATTTCGCTTTGCGCTAAGTGGTAGTTTGCGATAATGTAATTTACAGTACTTTGTATCATTTGTTTTTTTTTAAATTTTTGTTAGTAAATATTTAAACTTGTGGGGACCAGTTTTTCATCTTGAACAAAACAGTTTTCAAACAATTGATCGATAACTGTTCAAAATCTTAAAAATGCACCGATTTTGGAGTGTTAATGGCTGTGGAAGTTGACAGTATGTCATTCCATTTGTTGTAGAAGGAATAGATTCTAAAGCAGTTAATAAGGTCGTTGTTGTGCTCCTCAGGAATAGCTACTTTTTTTTCCATTTTATTCTCGGTTTATGGGTCCAAATTTAAACTGACTGTAATAAATAAGTGAAAGGTGTTAACATCATTTGGGCCTGGTTCGATGTTTGTACGTGGCTCTGGTCTCTTTTGGAGCTTGGGCACTTCCCTCTGCTCTCTACCCGGTATGAAGCCGTGTGGTGTTTCCGTCCTTGACTACTGCTCAAGTACAGTAGTTTGCTGGACGTGTGGTATAGCTGACGTATTTTTAACTTCCTGTGTCTCTGTTTGTGTCGGTCATATTTGTGTCTAAAAATAGGATAAATAGTAAAGAAAATAAAATGATTTGGTTATTCAAATGGTAAGGACAGGAGAGGTCATTATCTAGATGTGGGGGTAAACTGCAGACTGACTTTCACGCAGAAACTCATAAAAGAGTTGTTTCATTTCTCTTCATAGATGTCAATGCCATTGCAGTTACATGCGGAATGTTACTTTCTAAAGTACAGTACGGATCGGGTGGATTAGTTTTCGGGGTCTGTTAGATTAGGGTAATTATTAGGACTCCGAGAGAAAAAAAATTGATGTTTGCAGCTCATTCCGGATCTGGTTTCTCCTCGAGTTAAAGCATCCAGAAAGTGTTCTCGAAGTATAAGAAACTGCCCGGTATTAACAAAAGAGAGTCAAAAATTTTGTTCTATTCAGTAGTCCACTTGAGGCGTTGCAAATAAGCAGAATCTCAATTATGCTTCTTTTGATACTAGCTTCTGTCGTCACTTTATTTCCTTTACTGGTGTTCCGTATTTTTAAAACTGAGAAGTACAGTCAGCCAAAGAAAACTCGCTTTTCTAAGTTGTTGTTTCTGCATTTTAGGTGGAATGTTCTTTAAACCTGGTTATTATTGATTTGGGACTAATCGTGTAAAAGGAACCAATAGGCCTGGAGCAGTAAATGTTTTCCTTGATCTTTGGTTTCGAGAGAATTAAATATTGAGGAGGTCTTTGTTTCGTACTTTTCTATTTAATAATTGCATAGGTTTTTCTTGCATTTTGCTGCAATTATTGCTCCGGCAGTTTGGAAAGTCGTGATTAGTAGCTTTCGACAAAAGTAGGTGAGTGAAAACTAGGTAAACGTAAGGAAAACAAAATCACCGAAATTTTACCAGTCTGCAAGAGTCATTGTCTCGGACAAGCATCAGAAAGTGGGCCGGCAGTATAGTGATAGCAGGGTTGTGTATGATAACAAAAAGCCAGTTCAGCCAAATCACTTATGCCAGCATTTAAAGGATTTGCTGAGAAGTGGACCGAATCATCAAAGAGAAACTGGAACCGTACAAGAATATAATCCGGTAAAAAGTGACGATAAAAACTGTTTTAACTTCTTCAGCTTATCAGTAAATCAACAACCGACGACTTTTCTAATTACTAAATTAGAACTTGCTGTCAAATACGAAACACCCCAAGTTTTATAAGGCACTAATTAGGGATCCTTTGTTTGTAGGAATTTGAAGCAGCTTTCAGTAAATTGAGGCGACAATTTTCACTTAACTATGTTAACAATTCTCAAATTGTTTGGACTTTCGTAGATAATATATTGGAACGGCATTAGCAGGTGAATTGAAGAGGGAGCTTTTGTAAAACTCAATCTTCTCTGGTCATAAGCTCTCCAACTTTGTAGGCACTAGGTTTCGGTTGAAAAACTGTTTCTATAAACGAAAACTTGACTGCAGTTTAAACTCTTGTATCTTATTGTTTGCCATGAAAAAATTTCTATGCAGGTCTGATATTGTAACAGCTCCGCTTAAGTGGCGTAATGTATTGTTTCACTTGTGCTGGTGTCGCTTTCTGCGGCAATCGTTGGCTATGCTAGTGCGGAAAAGAGAAGAATCAAATTTGATTGTAATAAGAAAACTAGAGATAATAAGTGGTTGGTGAAAGTTAAGGGTTAAGGAAAGGTGTTTTACCTCTTGTTCTAGGTGAACTGTTGAGAAGTTTGAAGGTTTTTGTTTTATGACCCAAGCAGAGCATGCGAACAAACGATCGTCGAAAAGGTCGAACAAAATAAATTGTTATCAGCGGATCTAGTACCGGATACCATCCAATAAGGTTAAAGGCAAAATATTCCTACAATATGTAGATGAAAGAAGTAGGGGGTTTTTTGTTGATTATTGTTCATTGCTAATAGTTGAAAATTTTTTTTTTCGACTAAATTCAATTCTTTTCTGCTCTTCTCTTTTCTTCTCTGTAATAATCAAAAAAAAAAAAAAAATATATTAATTCTATCTGCAATGACATTATGGTTACCGTTAATGGACTGGTAGTGGCCAGCATAGTCAACAATGTGATAACAAATTGAGGTATAATAAACAGAATAGGTAAAACCGCTTGAATACGTAATGCAAGCACTAAACGTTTTTGAGCCAGAACTGTTCGCGAAATTAACAGTCCTCTATAACATGGAAGGCTAATATAGTTTTGAAAAATAAAGCGAAGATTGCTGTTTTAACGTAATAATAAATATAAGTTAAATTAATTGAGTGGAAAAGAAGAAAAAAAGAGAGGATTATTGAAACAGTTTAAATCCTGTCAAAGTAAACGTCAAAAATTTTGATAAATTTAGGCGTATTAGATGAAAAGCAAACTTACTCTCTCTTTTTCAAATGCTTGTTGATTTTTGCAGAACAGAAGAAAACAAAAATAATTGAGCCACCAGATACGGTACAGGAGAGGGAACAAGCAATAATATATGATGGGCTGAAATACGGATACAATGTCAGTTGTTGTCTGATGATATAACTACTCAATTTTAGTGACATATGACTGCTTAGATGAATTTGACATGTAAGAAGGGTGATCTTTTTCTTTTTTTTTCCTCAATTAATCTTAGCGATTTTTGATCTGATAGCACAGTTATTTTTATTGAGACCGCACTTGGCAGTTTGAAAAATGCATATGCAATTTTTGATTACTCAAAGGGTGGTGGTTAAATTATTGGTTGCTAAGGAAGGCATATAAATAAGATGTTGCATTTAAATTTCTGTCATTGAAGCTTCAAAAAACTGCTAAACTGCTAAACTGTATTATTGAATCTACATCTAATTACCAAATCTGTAATTATTTTAAAGTTTAAGTAACATTACTAGGCGTTTTTTTAACCCTTCCCAGGGCTAAAGCTATTGACAGTAGTTTAGGCTACACTAAACAGCGGAAAACAGAACTACAGCTGGTTCTCTTATTCTCTTAAAAAATATTATAGAAATATTGCTTTTTTTTTTCAATATTTATAGCAAGTTTAGAAATTTTTTAGAAATATCATCTGCCCTATAAGACTTACTAAGTTGATTATAAAGCAGTAGTAGTAGTAGTAGTAGTAGTAGTAGTAGTAGTAGCAAAACTGTAAAATTTATATTAAAATCAAAATGAACAAATTAATCTGCAAATGTTTTGGATGATTTTTGCAAATAACAACAAAACAG